GGGGGCTGTTAATGGGGGGGACCATGGGATGGAAGCGGCGGCGCGGGGGATGGGCGGCGGGAGGGTCGCCTACCGCGCGCCAGAGAGCTTTTTGTGCTTCGGCGCGGAATGATCCCTCCATAGTTCCCTGTCCATGGCTCTGCTGACATTGGTGATTGGGCGCGGCTCATGGCGCGAGCATTGCAGGCTGGCTTGGCTGGGCTGCTCGGCCGCATGGGCCCGCGCCCCCCACACACTGGGCATACATCGGCACATAGGCGTGTGCCGAGCCAGCGACCGGGAAAGCAGTGTGTGCTGCGTATAGCCCCCCCCCCCCCCCCCCGCTGTCATCAATCATGTGCCCGTTTCTTTCTATTTTTGTCCGCACAAGCAAAAGGGACAAAACAAAACCAAAAAAAAAAGGGGGAGGAAATGAAATTTCACGGCTGAATAAAAATGGACGTGAGTGGAATGCAGGGTGGAGGGGATTGGTTGAGGACGGAAGAGGGTGCGCCCGCCCGGTGTATCGATAGGCTACTGAGAAGCCCTCGCACAGGTCGGCTGCGTCCGCTGAGGAGGACGAAGGGGATAGAGAACTTGCGACGTGCGGCCTTTCGCCAGGGACCTATAAGTTATAACTTTAAGAGCGTGAAAGTCCGCCCATTATTGCGATTTTACATTAAAACACGTGCACTGTTAAGAAGAAAAATGCCAAATCCTTCGTAGGTACGAAGGTTTTGGAAGCTTCGTATATAGCAAATCTTTCGTAAGTACGAAGGATTTAAATCCTTTCAATTGGAAGCTTCGTAGGTAGCAAATCCTTCGTAGGTACGAAGGATTTGGCATTTGGCTTCGTAAGGCTTTAACTGTGTGTGTTCCTGTGTAAGTGCTGGTGTAAATGTATTACATAATTCCATGATTCGTTCTCTATGACACCCCGTCGCACACCGCGGGGCACCCACGCATTAAATGCGCGAAGAAAGAAAGCTGTGTGCGACACCCACACACTTGGGTGTGTTGTTTGTTGTTTGCTGTGTCACCACCCCCAGGCTGACCACCACAAAGGGGAGGGTGAGGAGGGAGGAGGAGCGCTGGCGGTGCCCAGGTGGCCGCCGCCGCCGCCAAACAACAACTTTGCCTTTTTATTTACAAAAGGCTGACATGGCGACATGTCGTGCGCATGCTGCGGGAGAGGCGCGGGCGGCGGCGGGGGCTGTCGGCGCTGTTGTAGTGAATCTCGCGTGGTGCGGTCGCAGACCCCGCCCAGCCCCGCCCAGCAGAGCACACTGCCCCATTGTCCGTCCTTCCTACTCGTCGCCGCGACCCTTAACCTCTTTGTCGGCGCGGCTCTGTACGGCGCTGCAGTCGGGGCGGCACACAGGACCCGGGCCTCATTGGGCCGCTGCCGGCGAAGTGTAATCCTCCTCACAACGTGATCCTCGGGCCGCAGAGCAGAGGTTTACGTCGGTCACTCCCTTCTCATCCCGCACTGTGCGGTGGTGTAGGGAGTAGCGCCCGCGCACTCGCCTCCCGCCCCAGCAGGCTAGGTCCCCACTCCGCTTATTGTGTGGATTCTAGTCGGGCTACCCCTACCTGGCGCGGCCCTAGGTATACAGCGGGTTCTCCACTGCCCTTTCCGCCACGAGCTCCAAGCCCCTAAACCTTGCCCTATAATCCTGAAGCAGCCACCTCGTGCCTTTGCAGACTCCCGGTGCGACCTGACACCATTTTGCTCCTCCTCAACCCTGGGTGTCCCGGGTCGCCAGCGACTTGACCCCCACAGCAGCTGGGTCAGCGGTCAGTCGCTCCCCCATCCCTTATCCCGCCCCCTACCCCCTCTCCCGTTTCGCTCTTGGTTCAGCAAATACGCAAGGGTGTCAAGTGACGGCGTGCCCGCTAGGCCCCGCGCTCCGCGTAGCTCAGCGCCCCCCCCCCTCTCCTTGGGGCCGAACTCGGGTGCTATTTGCCTTCGATTCCTCTCGCCCTCCACCTCCTCGGGGGGCTTGTTGGCGCCCGGTCGGTGCTGTTGGGCGCAGCAGCGGCGCGCGGCAGCAGTACCAACTGCATCCCCTGCGGCCCCCTCGTCCCCACCACTCCGTTCTCCCTGTGGAATGCGCCCTGCTCGTCCAGCCCGCGACCGCGTGGAACGCATCTACCCTCGCGACCACCATAAATTCCTAGATTTATGATGGAAATGTATTTTCTCTCTTTTTCCTTTTTTTTAGTGGTGCGCGCGCCTGTTGGGCCGTCTCGTCCGTGCCCCCTGCAGCGCTAGATCCTTGCTCACCCGCAGCCGGACGGGGAGGGCAGGGGCTGCCGGAGGGGATAGGGGTTACAGTGGGGGCATCGCCGATTTCCAATAGTTCACCGTGAGCATGGAAATATATATCGGAGCGGGTGACACGTCGAGAGGAGGCACGGCGTGGGGGCGGCGCGGCGGGGGCTGGGGAGTGTGTGACACTGTTTCCCTCTCCGCACCCCATCCACCGCCCCGACTGCACTGCTCTTCCATTTCCGACAAAATGCAAACTTTCTTGGTTGAATTACTTTTTGTACTACAACAATTTATTGTGAAGACATTCGATGTTCCTGAAGAGCGATTTTTGCTTTATATGCCTTGCCTTTGCTCACTCCTTGTTCTTGTCATTTCCCAGTTTTTTTCTTCTTTTTTTATTCCCCTTTTTTGATTTGCTCATTTTGCCAAACTAAAACTCTCTAAAAGAATCAACTGTTTGTTATTTCAATGGAAAGCGGCTCTGTAGTTAGTGTGACGTCTTAGATTGCGGGATGCAGGAATATTATGAAAAGAAAAGTAAAAAAAAAAAAAAAAAAAACGAAATGGAGCAGACAGGTGCGTGGACGAAGTAGGCGTGGTGGGGACCAGCCTGCGGCACAACTCAGCCGTGAGAACGCCCCCGCCCCGCCTTTCCCCCGTAATGGCACAGCCCCTGCCCGTGCCCTGCCTGTGCCCTGCTTCCCCGCACGCCCTCAACAAGCTTTGATCTTAATTGCTGTGATGATCCACACCCTCCTCGTCCTCCGCCCCCCGCCGCCCGCTCGCCATCCACCTGCAGCACACTGCGCGATGCACATCGTGCAAAACGAGAGTGAGTCTCCTGTCCGTGCGCGTTTCGCCGAAACACACGCGGCAAATGTATCCCCCCGTGTCGTGGCCCGGGTCTGGCACGCTCTGCTTCCTATACGTTTGATTCACACCAATAGGGGTCGGGGACACGAAAGGGGGCGGGAGGGTAGGGGAGGGGCGGGGATATATGGAGACCCGTGTTGGTCGTGTCGTCTGACCGCGGACATCCAATGTTTTCGTGACGGGGTAGGGCAGAGCTGGGCGTGGGCGCGCCAGTAGATGGGGCACACTGTAACGCAACTTTGTCGGAGCCTTTGGGTACTTTCGGTTACTTTGAAAATCAATGGATTCTATTGTTGGAGTTGGGGTGTATTATGCAGATGAAAATCTGATTGATTTTGACATTCTCGAAGATGGTTTCTTTTACAAAGAACACAATTTTCTGAACCAAATTAAAGCCTTTTCGCACTTTCTCTTGACCCCTAAATGCACTTGAATCAAGAAAGATATCTTCTTCATGCAACCAATGCCAAAATAAACTAAGAACGAGAACATTTTTATAATTTGAAAACCATAGGCATTTTGAGTGAACTCTTTTCAACATCGTGGGATGATATTTTACTGTGTCGGTCAAAGATCGGGGCTTTCGAGCGCTGCGCCTCTGCTGTTGTTTCGTAGATGGATGGATCTGGACGAGTCGCACAGTTGCTGCCGGGTCGCGTGACTTTTCAGACGATTGTCGGCTTTGCTTGGCAGCGCGAATTCCTCTGCTCTTTACATTTATTCTCTTTTGCGATTCAAAAGAAAAATAATTTTGTTTCGTGTGGAAAGTCAATGCGGCCCGATTGCGGCCCCTCCCTTACGCGGCAGGGAGGGGGGGGGGGGGGGGAGGAGCGCCGTTATTGTTCCAACTTTTGTCATGAGAGGTGACCTGCTAGCATGAATTGTAAACGTGTGCTGTAAATACGGGGCTTTGTAGTAAAAATCCAGCGGGAAGCAGACGCGCAGCCCGGCATACCGGCGGCGGGCACTGGAAACCGTTTCAGTAAGAAGGCACGGAAAAAAAAAGATTCGCTGAGTCAGCTAATATATTCACTGGTATCTGGACAGACAAGCACATAAACTTCTGTAACCACTTTATTGTCTACTCAAATCAATCATTGGCTGTGCCAGTCAAAAATTAGCTGTGAGAGCTTATCCCTTACCTAAATCAGTCGAGGTCTACCTTACTGATGCAGGCAAATCATTACTTCATACAACTTATCTTTGACTGGCACAGCCAATGATTGATTAGAGTAGACAATATAGTTGTTAGGGGCCGTTCACAAATTACGTCACGCATCTGACGGGGGGGAGGGGGTCTCTGCCCGCGTGACGGTCCTATCCTGAAAGCATTAGAAGGTTAGGTTAGCCGCGTGACGTGGGGGAGGGGGGGAGTCAAAACCACCCGAAATTTGCGTGACGTAATTTGTGAACGGCCCCTTACAGAAGTTTATGTGCTTGTCTGTCCAGATACCAGTCAATATATTAGCTGACTCAGCGAATCTTTTTTTTTTTCGTGAGGAAAAGTTGCAATATATGTTCAATTGTGTCTTTGCTTTTTAGGTGGTTGCTAATACTTTTTCGGTAACGCAGTAATCTGTTGTGCCAGTAACGTCCTTCAGCCGTTACAAAAAGTCCTTTTACGTTTGCAATCCCAGTAATTTTGTTTTTGTTGCTAGACCGTTGCAGCGCTGCGCAGAGTGCACGAGAGAATGACATTCTGAGCAACGCGCGCTCTGCACCGCACATAAAAACGTTTTCCCGTCGCCCTCACGTTGTTGTTTTTTTTTTCGTGTGTGTGTGTGTTTTTTTTTTTTTTTTTTTTTTTTTGTTTCACTTACCGCCGGTCTTGCTGGTACAAATCCTGCTGGCGGGGCGCGGGTGGCGCGGCTGGGCGGGGCGCGGCGGGCGTGCGGGCGCGGGAGCGCGGCGGGCGGCGCGCGGCAGAGTGCACGTGCGCGCGGCGCTGCGCGGGCGTGCGTGCGGGCGGGCCGGGTGCGGGCGAGGGCAGACCGACCGCGCCGGGGGAGTAGCAGGGTGCGACTGAGTGCGAAGCAGCGCGCCAGAGTGCCTCCCCTCCCGCCCGCTCCCTATCCGCCCCACCCCCCGCCGCCACCCTCCGCGCGCAGCCAGCGCGTCTTGGCCCGGCCGGCCGGGCTGCTGGCAGTGTTGCGCTCGGCACAGGGGCATTGATCTACACAGCGCAGCGGCGGAGGCCGGGCCGAGTCGGGTAGAGCCGGAAGCGGAAGTGGAGGTGTCGGGGCGGGACGCGAGGAATCCAAATCTTTCGCCACCTCGCCTGTGCTTCCCCACCTCTCTTCCCCCTTCCGGTCCGTCCTCTCTCGTACCTAGGCGGGTGGCGCTTTCTACATTCCTGCCGTACCGTGGAAATTTAAATGCACTAGTTTTTATTTTCTTAAAAAAAATCTCTTTTGATTTTGTTTTTCCTCCCTGTTTTAATTAAGGTAATACAGGACTGAAACTGGAAAAGTCCGTCAAAAAACAGCTATTTTGAGTTTAAAATTAAAATGCGAATGAAATCAAGAAAAAGCTCGCTATTTCATTCTAAGTTAGTTTATTGCGGTTCTTTTAAGGTAAAATAAGTCTATAGTTAAACGTAACTGTGGTCGCGACACGTTTTTTGAAGATAAAAGGCGTGTCACGACAACAGTTACGTTTAATTATAGAATTTTTACATCTTAAAAGAACCGCAATAAACTAACTTTAAATGAAATAGTGAGCTTTTCCTTGGTTTAATTCACATTTTGATTTGAAGGACTTTTCCAGTTTCAGTCCTACCTTAAAATCAGAAAAGGGCGCGCTGAAAATATGATCGTCATTGGAGGCGTTATTTAAACCTACTGTGTAAGTGAATAGGCCCGTAAACGCCAGTCCAAAACGATCGTCTTTGACGTGAGGCGAAGGAGGGCGCTCCTAGAGAAAATAATATCGGAAAGAACTATGGGCCGGGGGGGGGGGGGGGATAATTGAATCAAGGAAGGGAAAGATTGGGGATGGGGGAGGTGGTGAGCAGCATCGGGCTGGGTGGGTAGACTGGAGTAAGAGAGAAAAAAAAGTAATTAGCTAGACGGAACTTTAATTAAAAATCTAAAGTTTGTGTGCGCTTAATTAGGTGACAGTACGAGTCGCGTGCGGTGTGTAGCAGTGGTCGTTCTTTGGGCTGTTGCACTGTTCTGTGTTTATTCGCAATCCGTCTTCCCTTTCTCCTTGTCTCTCTCGCCGTAGGTTTTGATGGAGTGGGGTTCGGAGGCTGAGAGCCCCTGGGTGGGTAGGCAGGCCCGCAGGTCACAGCTGTCGAGCTGTACGGCCTATCCCGTCGACGGCGGGCGCTTGCAGTGTTGGGGCGTGGTGCGTGACGCGATCGCTTTGGCTTGGCGTTGGGACGTCGCCTGTATCAATTTCGACTATTATTAT